GTGCAACTGGGGCTCTGCAGCCAGCCAGCCACGAAGCCGGAGGCATTGACATCGGAGACCCAACCCAGGTCCGAGCTCAAGACCCCCGCGTAGCCTCCGAACTGTGTGCTTATGGAATTTCTCTTGGGGCCAGATGGGGTCTCTCTGAGAAAATGCAGGGAACCCTGAGGCTCCCTAAGAACCCCTGGTGCTTGGCACCGCCTGCCAATGATCCTTTTGTTTATTGGACTGCCCGGAATGGTTCTGGTTTCCTTGGGTGACCAAAAAGGAGTGTCCCTAAGAAAAGACAGACTCAAAAATTGACAGGTGTCCTTGTCATAGGCTGAACCACGCCTTGCAATCAAGCTCTGTTGAAATTGCTGCGGCCAAACAGGGAGAGTACGTACTTACCCTATTCGTCATCCATATTCTTTCTCTGGGGTCCTTGTATGTCTTTGGGTGATTCAAAAACTTCCTTTTCCTAAGTTGATTTGTAAGGAGGGCGTGCGATCAAACCGCTACTGCACTCCTCCCCTTCTCTTGAACTTCCAACATGACCAAATTGTCCTTTGTCTTCCCTCCGGCCGGCACAAAAACTCAGGAAGCCGCCCAGCAAAAAAGAAATTCACCCACGCCTGGCCCGAAAAAAGGGGGCTGTTTTATGAGAAGATGCCAGGCCGTTAAGCATCAATCCAGACAATGGTCATGTTGGCCCAGAATTCACAAACCCGTGTGCATGGAGGGGATTGTCACTTTTGGAGGGGAACACCGCGCTTCATGCTTAAACAGGGGACCCAAGCCTGACTCAAATATGCTTGTTTCTCTCATGTTTTGTTCACACATCGCCCGGCCGCTTTGGAATGGCCAGTCAATGAACAGGGGCTTAAGAATTAAGTGGATGGGAATGTATGCTTACCCACCTCCTGGCAAAGCCAATGCCCACTCCCTTTGGCTTGCTGCCACGATCGAAACAAATATGTTCGCTACGCTTAGCACCCAGCGAAGGAAACCAAAAAAAGCAAATGGACGCATCATGTCATCCATGCACGGTCCCTGAAAGCTTGCTTGCTTCAGCTTGGTTCACTTGCGATCATGGCGTATGTGTCCATTTCTACGGGACGCCCCATCAATTTGGAAACCAATCTGAACGAGGGCACCCTCAAAATCATTGTCTGCCATCAAAAATCAAGGTATGGATTTTGGAGGTACGGTACGCAGGCTATTTTACACTTACATAATGGGTACATACCGTCCTCCTTTCAATCATGTATTGGTGGTATGTAAGTACCGATTCCGCCAAAACCCAGATCTGAACATGAAGGTCTTCCCCTGGCTCGCATTTTTGTCCCGCTTCTTCAAAACCAAGGCATTTGAGTCAGAACCAACTCTTGGTTCAGTAGGTTGGATTTGTGGCGTCGGAACTGGCACAGCTTGTTTTCAGCTAAATCCAGGTCCAGGCACCCCACACGGGTCCCGAGTCTGGGGGTGAATAAGGAAGGCCCTGCAGGGTCACTGGGATACAGCACAAGCTCGCAAAGGTTGAGAAACCCCTTTGAACCAGGTAAAGTTGCCTCTCTTTTTTTGGCCAAGATGCACCCTAATATATTCGAAAACTCCCCGTAGCCCATGATCAGACAGCAGTTAAATGCCCCCATTGCCCTAGCCTACATATTTATTTAGGTCCTTATAATCCCGGGGTAGCCTGGGTGTCTAGGGAGCCAACCTCGACCCGTGGATTTCCATGGCAAAAATATAATCGCCGCTTTTGCTGATCTTAACGGCGCCTCGCCAGAGCCCTACAAGGACTCCACAAAAAATCGGGAGCCAAACCAGGGACTCCAAGAAACCAAAATCGGGGGGCTCCTTTTATTGGCTCTTCTCACTGGCTGAGTGGATGGCCCAAAAAAAGTCCAAACTGTACATTTACCACGAAAATGGTCCAAACCCCAAAAAGTTTAAAGTTCATGAACTCAGGAAGTGAGTCTTAGGGGAACCCCGGGGAGCCCCAGACGAGGATGGCAACGGTTTTTTCTGGGAAGCCTCTGGCTGTCGGCCGGGGCCCCGAGCTAAAGAGAGAGCACACCGTGTAGAAGTGCGTGGAGTCCATCATGCACCTTGCGGAGGGCTCTTTGGATAAAACAACCCACGCGACCGGAAAGAAAAAAAGGAGGAACAAAAACGCCGCCGGTGTCTCAGCGATTCCATCGAAAGGTACTAGGGTGGAATTAAGACCCCGGCAAAAATATGTATCTTTTTTGCCTGGTTAGTGGAAAACAAAGGGAACCCCAAGAAAGCCACAAAGCAGAAAGGGGAGCTAATTCTGAAGGGTAGAGGTCAGTGTGTGTTTCGGAAGCCTTTCTCCTTGGGGTTGGGACTCAACTGAGAAAGGGGCACTTCTCCGTAGGCTCCAAGAAGAAAATGCCCCCCCTTCAAAAAAGAAGCTCCAGAAACAGGAACCAGAGAAACACAATCGGTCGCTGGAGCTTGCTGGGGTCATTTGCAGGTTCGAAAACAAGTGCAGCGCGCTTTGTTGAGGGGGCGGTTTAACAAGAAAGTGCACCAACAGCATGAGGCACGGTCAGACGAGGCGGTTGGGTGCCCTAGTACTTGTCCATTTTTAGCTTGGCAACCCGAGGGCAAATGGGTGGGTTAGTTTCGGGATTCCTATCCTAGCAGGTGCATAACAATTATACACAGCCTAGCTTTGCCTGGAGGTGCAGCACATTGTCAAGCCTGGGTGTTGCCCTTCCCCCCAAGCAAAAAGTCTACTCGGTTTGTAGGACTGATGGAAAAGCAATTGTCTCAACCACAGCCAAGCCCAGAAGCCCCTCTACAAGACGAGTACCAGGGACCTATTCCTGCAAATCCAAACCCCCATTAATAGTACAACCCACCAATTAGGGCTTGCCTCAGTGAAGCCAGCTGTTGTCTTCATCTAGGGGGTCCCCTAAAAGTTGCGTTTCTCTTTCTTTCCAGCGCCAGCCTTTCGTTCCAACCTTAAGACACCATTCTCGGAACCATGACCCAAAGGAAGAAGGTTCTGTAAAAAGGACAGTCCCCTGTGTCGTTTCGGTCTCCTTTCGCGAGCCTTTCAAACCGAAGACACCTCCTACAGCCGGATATAGGCTCAAACACTTGCTGGTGCTCAGCTGGAAATGACCGAGTCAGCGTGTTGGGAATGAACGCGGACGGATGTCCCTTCAAGACACACCGCATGGCTATGGTTTAATTATAGGGGTCATTCCATTTCTCATTCCCTTGAGAAAAGCCTCACCCAATACCGGCCCGGCTCGCCCGCGTTAAGCACGCGCTTCGTACTTCCGCTCGGGCGCAAGAAGGCCACATGAAGCCGCGGCAGCGGCTCCATGGCGAGCTATGCGCGCAAGCGCAACCCGCTTTGGCAGATGATGTGACGTGTTGTGCGCTTTTCTGGTTTTTCTCCGTGTTCTCTGGGGAAAGTCCGTGGTACCCAAAAGAACTTGAGTGTGGCTCAAGTCGACTGGTTCGCCATGGTGGTCCCTTAGTCTTGCAGGCTGGAAATAAGGGAGCCCTGTGAATTGCCATGCTTTGAGGAGCTCACCCTTTGCAGGGATTCAACCGTCAAGTGTTGGTTTTGCATTTGACGGATGACTCCAAAGTAAGCCAAATAACAGCATGTAGGTCTGATAGAGCCTGACTTCAATGATTGTCATTTGGACAGCCTTTTCCTAGTGGCAATTTGGTGAGTATGTCCCATGCCACCCCGTTTCTACAAGTGATTCACAGCTGCTCACCTGCATGGAGGCACAAACAGGTCTGTCTTTTTTGAGGGTACCCGTCGTTTGCCGTTTTAAAGGGAAACCAACAGGAAAACCAAGGCCATCTTTGGGGTTCCCTAAGAAAGGACACCTAAATCAGCCCTCGCAATGGGCGAGGGCGAGCGAGGGCCTTAGGGCCCACCCGGGGGAAACGGTGTTCCCAATACTTCCTACCCTTGAAGCATGACCAAGGGAAACTCAGCTGGCAAAAGCGATGCTTACCAGCCATTTGGTATTGCCTCCAATCCCCGCAATCCCCGGATGGTGCTTTGCAGGAATGCTGAGACAGAAATTCCGGCTCAACTCATTGCCGTGAAAGGTTGCAAACCCTTGGGGAGGGGGGAGACCCGGGCAAGTCAGTCCCATAAAAACCCACCCCCTGGAAAGGCAGTCAGACGGCCCGAGGGTTTGTTCTTTCCGGGCAGTGCCACAGAACAACTGGGGGCTATAACTTTTGCAGAAGGGGTACCAATTGTTCACTGGGTGCATGACTGTGGCATCCTCAGAATAGTGACGAACCCGCGTCAAGAACCCCTCAAAATGCAACTTGCGCCTGCCCATTCGGACCATTCCAAGAAGGGTTCTCCAAGAACCCCTCCTCTTGGTGGCCCCGTTGCTTCCCTACACCGAAGCAAAGCGCTGAGCACCACCGGGCGAAAGCACCGTGGAAAGAACCAGAAACCTGAAACTGACAAACCTGCCAATTTCAAAATTTCAGCGCCAAGCCCTGGAAGAAGAACCTCTTCCAGACTAAAAACATCACCCCTTCATGAAACAAACTCACCTTCGAGCCAAGAAGGCCATGTCGTCCATTTGGTTTAGACCCCTGGGAAAAAATAAAATACAATAAAACATCCAGTAGTGATAGATTCCCTTCAAAACCAACAGGGGGAAATGTTTCATGTTGACCCAGGATGAATAAACCCGTCCCATTATTAGGAGGTGTTCCCTCCAACAGTGGTCTGAATCCCTACTAAAAGGGGACACCCCCCGATCAAAATCAACCAGGGGTTCATGAATCCGGGGTTAACATCATCATTTTCAACCACTCTTTTCAAACACCGGATCCGTTTCCCTGGGATTTTTTCCATAGTTTCCTGAACAGACTCGGATCCCTGGGTTCAGAATGGAATTGGAAGGCAGCCCTAGAAAGGTGGCACATCCAGGGGCCCCGCCTTCAGCTCTCAGCTTCCGCTCGCTTCCGCTCGCTTCCGGGGCTCCGGCGCGCGGCTCTTGGCCGGCAAGGGCCGGCTCTGTGCCAGGAAGGCCGTGAGCGCCTCGCAGCACAGCGAGGAGACCTGGCGGCGAGGCCGTGCGGCCTCTCGAACGGCGAGCCTCTGACGGCCGAAGCCCATTTAAGACACATGGGTGTCTTGGAGGGCAATTGGACATGATCGGTTGTTTACTGTGGCTTTTTCTTTTTAGGGAAACTAAACGGAGTCCAGCCATTTTTGTGTTGTGTTTTTTTGTTGGGGAGGGGGCGTTCTTTACTTCACAACCCTTGTTTTTGCAGCCCCCTACTAAAACTGAACAGCCCCCCCAAAAAAGGAAAAAACAACATGCCAAGCACAGTGAATTTTACAAAGACACGCCCAATCGGAGAGCACTCACGAGGCTGCAAAAACCGGGGCTTCGCCCTGGGGCCCGGAGCCGGGCCACAGCACTTCACCACCCCCCCCTCTCCCCAACCCAAAAAAGCACACAATTCCGGGGGTCCACTTTTTGACTAAGATCAGGTCGACCTATGACAAATAACCCCCCCTCCCCGCGAAATGAAATTGTTTCTGGGTGGGGGGGTAGTTAATTTATCAGAGGTATACATTGGGAGGTTCCACTTTTTGGGGTCGTGAACCACTGGGTTTAAGTCCAAAGTCGACCCCTGCACACAATTGCATGGCACAGATGCCATCCCCCCCGTGGTTGACGTTGGAAGGGGGAGCAACAAAATTATCAGATTTTAGCGGTTAAGTGGCTGGATTTCAACCACTAAACCACAATAGGATCAAACATTGGAAAAATGTGTCCCAAAAACAACCATGTTTTGTTTGCCACTGCAACGAGTCCAACCCCAACGGGTCCAACCCCAACATGGGAAAAATGCTTCCCCAAAAACCACCATGCACAAATGCCCCCCCTCCCCCGAAAAACAAAAAACGCGCCATATTTCCGGCCGCCCGCCTTGGAGAGCTTGGACTCCTAAGGCGGGAGCAGGGTGCAGGGTGCCCGGACTCACAGGCGGCAGAGAAAGACAGCTCCCCCTCGTTAATAACTGGGCGAAGCCTTGTTGGTAGTTGCACGGGGATCGAAAATAATGCCAGGGAATCTTAGGTGGTGCGAAATGGAGTTCGCAACCATCCACAGTATGGTTCTGGGCGAAGTGTCATATTTCACCAGCCTGAAATGTTTGGTGGTTGGGGTTGGCTGTTCCCCACATAAACAACTCCATTTGGGGTGAATTCGGTCGTTATGATTCAGGAGCCACCCGGGAAAGCATATCTCCAGTGATAGCTTCCCTGCAAAGGCAGGGTAAATGTATAAGTTCAAGTAAGCGTATCCCCAACAGCCCCGCCACCCTTATACCCTTGAAACCCTCCGGAACCCTCCTTCTTTCAGCCCCGAACTACCCCTTATCGCCTATCTGGGCCTAGCTTTCAGCTCTTGGGGGAAAAAACACCTGGAGCACATGGAAGCAACATCTGGGCGAGATCTAAACCCTACTACTGACCTACCCCTTATGTTGAAGTGAGTGAGACCCTCCTCGCCAATAAAAAACAGCCGGAACCTGGCGTTCGGGACCCGGTCCCGTTAGAAGAAGGTCCAAACCAGGTGCCTCCCGCGACCGTCGAACGGTTCCATGTGAAAGGGACGCGTCCAAAGCATAGGTGGCCTTTTGGAAACATAGATGGCCCTGGTAAGTAGAATAAACCCGCCGTCTAAGGGCCCTCACCAACCTGAAATAAGGTCGCTAAGGGGATATTCCTCACATAAACAACTCCCTTTGGGGTGAGAATTCGGTCGTGTGAGGTCGGTCGTTCTAATTCACCCAGACCTATGGTTCAAAGCCCGTCTTTGCACACCGCCGCTTTGGGGGGCACGCTGGTCGCCAATGACCCCGCCTTGTCTGCGGCGAAGTAGTAGTCCTCCAAGTCCGCGAGCTCCTGGCGTCGCTGGTCGCCTTTTTTTTGGGGGATGGGGGGGGTCGGGGGGTAGGGGAGTCGGGGGGGGGGGAGTCGGGGGGGGTAGGGGGGTCGGGGGAGGTAATTAGGGGGGTCTGGCATGCTAGGAGGAAGATTCTAGGAGTGTTAGGAGGAATATTCTAGGGGTGGATTCCTTTTCCATTATTTTCAACCATCGTTCAGAAGGATCCCTGGAAAGAATGGGGAAGGTACCCCTAGAAATATGGAAAACGCCAGCCCGCCCCACGTTTCCATGGCAAATGACAGGGACCCGGTCCCTTCAAAAGGAATTCATCGTAAAGGTACCTTTTTCTGGTATCCAAGAGGAATACCTCCAAGAGGGTCAAATTGCAACTCAGGCCAACATGTTTATGTTCAAAAAATGAATAGAAGCCATGCACTCAAAAGCAGGACACTTCATGGACCCTTCTTTGATGCGGATTTACTCCTCGAAGTTCGAAGGTTTCCCTCTTTCTTGAACACACACTGCATCTCAAAGATGGTTCACACGCTTACTCTTGACCAACAAAAGGGGGGGTCATTCAGCGAACCCTGCCCTAGGGGTGCACCGCCTCTTGTTACCACTGTTCTAGGGGTTGGTTCCTCATTATTTTCAATTATTGATTTTACTTTCATTTTATTGTTTACCGGAAACTGAGGCGAAAATGTAAACCTAACGGCCAAGCAACATGAACCTTTGGACCCCTAGCCCAGAAGCTGAATATCAGGGCCCCTTAAGGGATACGGCTGGGCCAGCTTAATCACTGGCACCCGTGTTGGAGGATCCGAATCCCTGTAACGCACCGCAGCTTTTTGAATCCTACCAGAACCGCTGCCAGAAGCACCGCACCCCCGCGACCGCCCAGGGCCGGCTTTTGTTGCGCCAGGCGGGCATGGGAAACGGAGCCATGCTGCAAGTGGAGGTCCTTCCATTGTACAAATCTGCAATTTGCTTAAGCCCCCTGGAAAAGTAAACATATTTCCAGCGGTGATAGATTCCCTTTAAAACCAACAGGGGAAAATGAAAAATATTATTATGCAAATGGAAGAAATGGACAAGGCTTGCCCTCTCCAACTACCCTCCTACCCAATTCGCATGGAACCTGGCGTTCGGGGCCCGATCCCTGTCAAAGGAAAATGGTCCAAACCAGAACTTTCCGAACACCAGATTTCATGTGAACTGGTGGGAGGGTGGACAAAATGTAAACTAGGTCCTCGAGTAGAGAGGTTAGAATAAGGGTACCCTTTTTGCTGTAGTCTATTTCAGTAGGGGATCCCTCCCCCCAAAAAGGGGTAAAAGGGCAGTACTGGGGGACCTAGTAAACAAAACAACCACACAAACTAGCATTGAGGATGCCGGCGACGCCTTTCTTGGGACCAACACTCCGTGACCCAGCGGGGACCTCTCCGGTCCGAGCGCCGGCTGCTCCCCCAAACCACCCGCCGAACGGCACGGCGAGCCTCGCTGAGGCAAACAAGCCAACAACACGGTGGATGGACGGAAGCCCTGCACCACCTGCGTAAAACACCCTGGAATGACGATTTCCGAGTCAACACAAACAAACCACGGTTTTGATGGTTTCAAGCCAAAACTGGAATGATTATTTCCGCGGGAGAAAAACAAACAACGAACACAGGCTCTCCACCATGGCTTCAAAGTGGCGAAGGATTCGGCCCATCCGCAGTCGAGCCGGGGCTGCCTGAGCCTGGCCGTTGCGCGCTGCTTTCCGCCGGTCTGAGACCTCGTCACTTTGTCTCATGGCGCTGCTTGGCTCCCGCCGAGCGCGTGGTCGGTGGCCGAGCCCGTGCTTATGGCCATGGCTTTACCTGCGCCGGCGGGGGGGGGGGGGGCTCTCCAAATCTGCAGAGCTAACAACCATTCTTTTTAGTAGAGGTTGAAGGGAAGTCCGAAATTCAAGAACTCTGGCTAGGGCCAAAATATCCTGGTGAGTGTTCCATATGTAGGCCTGAACTGCACTGTGCCGGGAGTGACTTAGAAACGGGATCGTTTGGTGGCACCAGGGGCCCTGCTTTTGCTGGTGCTCCTTCCTGGCCCGTGCTTGCTTGCTGAGTGTTTTGTATGTCTCAAAAGCTCCACCGGCTCTTTTAAAGTGGGTATGGTGATGTGGGAACAGTTCAGGGCGGCAACTAGCATGCTTTATCTATTGTTGCCAGAAAGGGGAATTCCTATCCAAGCCCGCAATTCTCAGCTTCCTCTACTTGGCGCTTTGGATTGGCTTGGAGGTTCTTGGTAGAGAGCCAAGTGGGTCACAATCGGTATTAAAATGGTCCACCCAGAAAGCGGCCGCGGCTATTTATGGCTGGGGTCGTCCCTTGCTAACCTTCACGTACCCGGGTTTTGATTGTGACCGCATTTGGTTAGGCCGAAGGAGAAAGGAGGTTCCCTACTGCGGATGGACCTAGCGACCACTTCCAAACCTCCAAGCGACCGCGCTTGATTCGCTTTGGCTTGCTTGACGTTGGGTTTGGGGAGCAAAAAATCGCATTTTTTAGCAGTTAAGTGGCTGGATTTCAACCACTAAACCGCAATCAGCAAAAATCTAACATGCTTCCCAAGCGCCGCTCAGGCTCCCGGGCCGCCCTGCCAGTTCCCACGCTTTGCTCGCCGGAGCACCGAAAAAAGCCCATGAGGAGCATGCCAACTAACAAAACCATATGCCAAGAACAGTGAAGAACACGGGGTTGGCTCAAAAGTGAAGGGAGTTTCCAACATGGCCTTTTTTACGTGGTCTTTTTTTAGTATGGGAGCCCTCCGAAAAAACGAATACGGTAAACGGGCCCTACTGGGGGGCCTAGTTCCCATTTAAGGCCAGCCATGGCCAGCCACAAGGAGGTTCCCGCCAACAGGGATTTGGCGGCCACTGCTCGAAAGCGCCTAGTCACCTCGCAGCCTTGCCCGCGTCAGCGCGCTTCCGAAGGTCCCGGCAGGGTAGTCCACCTCACAAAGAATGGCTGGACTTCGGCGCAGGCAAAACAAGCCAAAAAAAAACGTCTTCTGAGCCCAGGGGTCCTTTCTTTCCAAGACAAGCTAGGGCAAGTGCCACCCCCTCACCCCCCCACCCCCTCACCCCCTCACCTCACCCCCCCACACCTCCCCTCCCCCCCCACCCCCACACCTCCCCTCCACCCCTCACCCCCTAACCGCCTGCAGATGGCCCCAGCGCGGAAACCGCCCCATGGGCAGCACCACCATCTCGCTGACCCACGGCTCCGAAGGCAGCGCCGGCGCCTCCGCCTGAGGAACGCCCCCCCTCCCCCCCCCGCTTGGGTGCTGGCAACGACCCCCCGCAAAAGGAGATGGACATTTTGGCCTCAAGCCAGAATGGCCCATTACACCTGACATTGGCGCATGAATCAATGCAGCTCACCAACCTGCCCATGCACAAAGCTGGCAAATATACACCTGAACATCGCAACTTGTACATGGTGGCAACTCCAACTTTATGTTGGTGCTGACAAAAGCTACATGCTTCAAATGGTTGCAAAATGGAGATCTTTTAAGGAGCCCCGCAAAAAGTTGAAAACTTTGGGGGGGGGGGGTTCGTGGCAAACCCAACTTGATTTCAACTAAAAAGTTGAAGTCTAAAGATCCGTTGCCCAAGTCAAGCCAGTCGAGTCCCACCTGAGGCGCCCCGGGGTCGCTCTTAGTGGGCCCGGGCCCGAAAAACGTCAGCTGGCAAAAGCGGCTGGGCAAGAAACCGAAAATGCGAAGCTATAAAAATTGGCTGTTGATGGACGAATTCCATGCTGTGTAGACCACATGTTGGTTTGTGGTACTGTGGATGGACGAATTCCATTTCGCGCCGCTTTGAAACCATGGGAAACCATTGTTCGTTGGCATTTACAGGGAAATCATCATTCAGGCTCAACCCCGCACAACCCGAGGGATAATTTTTGTCTGGGGCCCAATTTGGGGCCATGGTTCGATGGGTTGATTCCTTTACCATTCTTTCCAACCATATCCTTCTTTTCAAAAACCGATCGCTGTTTCCCCAGGGTTTTTGATGGTTTCCTGAAAAGAAGGATCCCTGGAAAGAATGGGGAAGGTACCCCTAGAAATGATGCCTGAACCGATCGCTGTTTTTTTAGGAAAGAAAATGATGCCTAGGTTCAGACTGGACATGGAAGCTACCCCTCGAAATCCCCCCGCCTCCGGCGCCAGAAAGCTCTCGGTCTCCGACGGCTCAGTGTCCTCGGGTGCAACGACCCCCCGGCAAAAAGTTGAACACTTTTTTGGGGGGGGTGTTCGTGGAAAACCAAAAACAAAAAGGACAAAATGATAAAGATCCCAAAAGTTGGGGGTTTCGTGGAAAACAACCCAAAAAAAGAAGATAAAGATCCAAAAGGTGAAAGTCTAAAGTTTTAAAGTCTAAAGATCCCAATTCCCTTTTTTCAGTCAAGGTGTCCGAGTCCGGCAGCGCGGTGTAGCTGGGCAGCGGCTTGCTGACGTGCAGGCGGCACATCAGCAGCAGGCACGCCACGAGCACCACGCCCTCGGCCCGTCGGAGTCCGCTGGGACTCGCTAGCCAGGCGAAAGGGCTGAAAATCCCCAAGGAGGGGCATTGCATTTGTGGTTGCCATGGAAAACGCCGAATCCCTCCAAAGGGGTAGCTCGGCTTTTCTTGGGTGCTACCCTTTTTGAGGTGGGGTGAAAGGAAAACAAGAAGGCACAGCCATACATGGAGTGTGAGCCCAGATAGCGAGGCAGACCACTAGAAATGGATCTTTGGCTTGCCTGCAAGGTGACAACAGGATCCCGAGCCTCAAACAAAAAACACAAACCCAAATGGATTTCGCAACAATCCACAGCACAGTGATCAGTAGAACCAGATCACCACTTCCATTTGCTGAAGCCCCCTGGAAAAATAAAAATACTTCCAGTGGTGATAGATTCCCTTTAAAACCAAGAGAGAAAAAACAAAAAAACAACTTCAGCAAATAGATCATCAGTCCAACCACCCCCACAAAACGGCCGCGGCACCAGACACACCTCCACCACCTCCACAGGCGAAACCTCCGGCAGGCGCCAGGCGGAGCCCGACGCAACGGGCGGAGGATCGAAGGCGGCCGCAAACTCGGCCTGACTCACCTGGCCCAGGTGTTGGGCTCCTCTATGGATCGCCAGTTGCGATCGCTTTTGTCCATCCACTTTACCCCAAAAACCAGCGGTGACTGAAAAAAGCGATCGCAACTTGGCTATCTAGGTTGTGGGTGTTCTTCGCAACCCTTGGTATGGATTCGCTCACAAATTGTACACTTTTTGGGCCACCACTAAAACCAAGGGAGAGCCACCAAGGAAAAAAGTGTAAAGTGTGTCCACTGGCTGAGTGAGTTCGCACCCTTTTTGCCCCCCTCCACTGAAAAGGAACAGAACAAAACAATCCAAAAGACTTCAAAAAGCCGTGCCGACAGTGAAGGTTTAATGTTGACCCCTCAATAGACCCCCCAGTTACTTTTCAGGGGGAAAACCAAAGGCTGATGCAGACAGTGCGTCTTAGGGGAACCTTCATGAGTGACGTTGCATAACCCCAACATTCAGTATACGGGTGCGTCAAAGGGACCCACAGAATGACTGGCTTCCCAGAAAAATCACCCGGAATAAACAAATCCTCCTAGCTTCAAGGTGGCTCCGGGAAGCAACCATGGCAAAGCCAAAGCGTGCAAAGAGTTCCTCTGTCCAAGACCTGCCAGCAAGCTGAGCAGGACTATTGCTCCCGTGCCCAGTGGGAAGGTTCCTCCAGCTCGAGGAAACTACCCAGGTGCACTCCAGGATTTGCTCAAAAACAGGACTCCCTGAACCTCTGCAAACATGCTGAACCCCCCCACCAGCGCCATAGCAAGGCCCCACTTCAATGAAACCCCACTTCAAGGAAACCAGGGGTCCTTGTTGGGAAATAAATGGCCCTAGTCAAGGGCCATCAATCTTCAACCAAATCAAACAAAGACTCAACATGCACGTTTGGCTTTTGGCCATTCGGGTCTGAATTTGAATAGACAACCCCCCCTCAAAATAAAAATAAAAAAATGTTGTCCACACCACTGTGGCTGGACGAAATCCCGAAGAAACCAAGACTTCGGGGAATCGAATCAGACACCTTTGGGTTTCTGAGTTCGCTGGTGCGTTTCATTATGAATTCGCAGCCATCCACAACTATGTCCTCCAGATTTGAGAGGTTAGAACAAGGGTGCCCTTTCTCTTTTCTGTAGTCGATTTTAGGGCAACCCTCTCCTAAAAAAGGGGTGAGAAAGGGCACCAATTGCTGGGAAACCTAGACAACATGTCTTCAATTTAGATGATGGCAATCCTTAGGTGTCTTTGAACAATGATGATGGTTATAAAAATCAAACATGATGGTTATATGAACAATGATGGTTCAACCCCTGGTTTTAATGGCGGATTGAACCCCAGGGCTATGTCTTCAGCCGGTTTTACTGACCCACGGCTCGCGCGGCGCCTCCGAGTCCCCGTCGCTGTCCATGTGCCACGCCGCGGGCATCCAGGGCGACGCCTCGGCCATGCGACGGAGTTGACGTGGATTTGTGTGTTTTTTTTTTTTTTGTTCTTTGGTGTTGTTATGATTATTTGCGTGCTTGTCCTTTCCCCGTTTGTTGTTGTTTTGCATTTGTGTGCTTAACAAAAAGGCTTGAATTGATATTGGGCTCGAATTGGACAATACAGGGAATTGCGTATGCATAGTTGTATGTATATGTATGTGCGTGATTCTCTGTGTATGCGCATATATGTGCTCTCTACAGGTACATGTGTGTCTATATGCATGCATGCATGCATGCATGCATTCTTGTATGTGCGTGTGTGTGTATGCATGTATGCATGTACATACATACGTACGTAGGTAGGGACATGGGTAGTTAGGTAGGTAGATGGGTAGGTAGGTATAGGGAGGTGTAGGTAGGTAGGTAGGTGGGTGGGTGGGTGGGTGGGTGGGTGGGTGGGTGGGTGGGAGGGTGGGAGGGTGCATGGGGGGGTAGGTCGGTGTGTATGTGTACATGCACGTGCATGTGCATATGCAGCATCATATGCATGTGTAGATGTGTGTGTGGGTGTATAAGTGTATGCGCGTATGTGCAGGTGTATGCATGTGCATGTGCATCTTTATATTTCTACGTGTGTGCATGCCTGCAAGTATGCCACAGAAGGAACGCCAACAATTGCAAGAAGCTAAGTGAGCTTTGGGATAAGCATGCGTGCCAAGGGCCCGCGGGAATGGCAGCAACCCATCAATCCTGGATGACCGGAGGGCCACGCGAAATCAGGTGCACAAAGACTCCCGAACCAGGACTCTCGGCAACCCCTTTGGCTCCCTTCCAACCATCAGCAAGAATTGTAGCCTAAAATAGGGTTCCCGGAAAACAATCAACAAGGGAACTGACCAGCCCCCATCATGGTCACTCTGAACTGTTCCCTCCGGTCGGGAGTGCAAGATGATGCCACGACACGCCTCTGGCTTTGGGAAAAGATTGTAGCATGCCCCTCCCGGCTTGGGGACCGCACGCGCGGCCAGCGGCGCCAGAAGTTCTGGAAACGGCTCCAGGGCAAAGCTCCTCTGACTCGGGGAAACCCGAGTCGCAGGGCTGTGGGAAATGCCCACTTCTGCGATACAAAAAAAAGGTCCCTCAAAGACTACACCGCCATTTAAAGAGGGGATTCCCTTGTATCACAGAAGTGCGGATAAACCCCTTGATCCCACAACCCCGGGCCCGAGTAAAACACCCTGCGTTCAGCTAGCCCCTCGTTGGTGCTTAGCCGAATCGGTGCCGGTGGTTGGGTGGTCTTGTGGGGTGGTTTGCCATTTGCCCTCTACATGACCCAGGGGTTCAAATCCCAAAATTACCAATTCAAACCACCAACTAAGGGTTACCCGGTGCATTAGTGGACTTGCCAACAAATCTATCAAAACAAAACAGTTTTTCACTGACTGGTCTTCCCAAGAAAAAGTGGCGTCAATCTCCAGAACATACCAACACACCAGTAGAGTCGTTAGAATAATAAGGGTACCCTTTTCTCTGTAGTCTATTTGACTAGAGGGAACCCTCCAAACCAAAAAAGGGGTGAGAAAGGGCACCGATCGCGGGGGGACCTAGGCAAAGAGCACCAATTCTCAAACTTTAGCAGTTAAGTGGTTGGATTTCAGATTTCAGCCACTAAACCACAATAAGATCAAAAATGGGCACCATGTTTCCCAACAACCACCATGATTACAAGAAAGCACCCCATCCCCAGGGCCACCCCTTGGCCGTCCAACTCCGGCATTTCAGAATCCGAGGTTCCCATGAACCCACCGAAAAAAAAGGGGCCACGCACAAGTTTTGTTTGCCACAACGGGTCCAACGGGTCCAACCCCATGAGAAGAAGCGAGGCCCGCCGAGGCCCGGCCAACTCGCTCCTCGCTCCGCGTCTGCGGCGGCCAGCGCGCGCCACGCGAGCGAGGACTTCGCGCCCGCGCCTCGACGCAAATTCTTCCGAGGGGGCGTGGGCTCAGATCTCGGCTGGAAGAAATGGACCCCGGCCCCGGCCAAAAAGAGATCCTTTTTGCCTGGCAAGGTGGAAAACAAAAGAAACCCCCCAAAAAAGCCAAAAAAAAGACAAAAACAACAAGGGGAGCTAGTTCTGGGGAAGAGATATGCCCCTTGCGGATTTCCTTGGGAAAAAAAAGGAGAGATGCTGGCCTCATTAGTTTACCATGATCAAAGTCACCCCAGTGGTGGGTTAAAGGGAAACAACCGATTCCATTGTCTGACTTTGATAACCCCCTGAAACCGTCAAACTAATGACCCCAGAGATGCATCCGAGTTTTTGGTTGGTTGAGCTCAAAGGAGTTGGAACCCTTCTCCAAAAAAAGGCGAACACATTTTTTTCTCCTGGGCAACTGGGTTGAAATTGGGGGTTCTCCTTGGGGGGAATTTACCACCCAAAAGGGTTTAAGCCTATTCTGGGCTAGTCAAAAAGTGGAAGCCTGGGTCGATGGTTTGCACTTCCCCCGATCCGCTTCTCTTCGTGCTTGGATCTGTGGTTGGGTGGTTAGGCGGAAAAAACCCGTGAACTCTCTGCAAGAAGCAACGCAAGCGTGGTGCAGAGCGTTTGGCGACACAATGTCACTCCCAAGCGGAGTGGCCCAAAAAAGGTCAGCAAACTTGCTGTTTGCCACTCAAATGGCCAAACCCGAACCCAACCCGAACCCAAAAAACAATAAAGTCCAGGAACTCAGGACACGAGCATGTGTTTTTTCACACAGCAGCCAGTTTTCGCAGCTGTTTTTGGCAGGCTCTCTGGAAGAATCGGGGAGCCCATATCCCCCATGGCCATGGACAAATGGCCCAACATGTCCGTACTGACTACTATCGCTCACTACTGCCCAAAAGGCAACGCGTAATTTGACAGTGGTACATATGGGTGGTGCCTTTTTTGGGAAAGACCCCAAAAATGGCTCCAGGCGTCGTTTTTTGGTTTCCAGTTTCCCCAGCAAAGGAAGGCGTATCCTAAGGCGAGCCACCCATACGGTGGGTGGACAGAATCCTGCACCACCATCTCAGCATTGGGTTGCACGCCCTCGCTCCCTTTTCAATATTGGGAGCTGAAAACACGCAGAAGGAAAAGAAGTTGAATGGACGAAATCCTGCACCACCTTTACAGCCCATCAAAGCAACATTGAATATGGGGAGCGGGGGGTCCTTCTACACCCTTGTTTAACTTGTTGGTTTAAGCGGTGCAGGATTTCGTCCACCCACAGTATCATGCATTTCCTGAAGCACGCGCATCCAAAAACCACAAAGTCAAAGGGCCATCTAACAACATGTGCCAATTTGGTTTGGACAGTTGGTTCATTTGGACCTTGTTTGCCTCAGTTTGCTTAAGGAACTTCCTCCAGGGCTATCAACAGTCCTCCGTTTGAAAAATGTGTCCCCTGGCCAAAAAAAAACTCAAATGAATTGTCGAGCATAGTGCGATCTCTCTTAAAACCAACAGAGAAAATACTTGGATGGAAAACCACATCCGTGGCTGGAATACACAACTTTGTTGGATGGACATCTTGAATGGAAGACTCTGCTTTTACGGGATGAACCAACCGCCTATGTTGGGTGCAAAACTAAAAAAGTGTAAAGTCCGAAACGGATCTCAGGGAGTGAGAAACCCGCAAAAGAACCAAAGTAATGTTGACCCCAGATTAATCAACCCCAGTTAATTAATCTGGGGTGTCCCTGGGTGAAATGTGGTTCGACCACTTATGGAAGGTTTCTGTGGGGTCAACATTACCTCTAGGGTGGTGTCTCTTCTTTTCGGGATTCTTCCACAATGGGCTTGGGTTTTTCTTTCGGATTCCCTTAGCCCACCACCAAAACCCCGGCAGCGACTCCAAAAAACAATGACCCGCGCCCGCGTTCACGTCGATGTCCGCGCCCCCCCTCCCCCCTAACCCCCCCTCCCCCCAACCACCTCGCTCCGAGCCGCCGAAGCGCTGCCGCGCCCAGGCGCGCCAGGCCGCCACCTGCGCTGCGGCCTCCGAGGCGTTGTAGCGCTTGCAGCCGGGGATAGGCGAGCCACACGAATCGCCGAAGGCCGCGTAGCCTCAGATGCCCCCAGTGAACGGGACCCAATCCAACCACTAAAGTAGGTTCTAGAATGGGTGGTGAATTCACCTACCCCAAAATGGAACCATTGGTTTTGACCCACAGCCAGAGGGGTCAACGGCTCGGTGCGATCCATTTGGTTTAAGGATGTTTAAGGGGGGTAGGTATGTTGCGGAGGGTGGGTAGGTACATTCCGTAGTTAGCAGGATGGGCTTGTCTCGCTTCTCAAGGGGATGGCCTCAAAGCAGTTTGCCGCACCCCCGAACGTCAGGTTCCATGCAAGAAGGCTGGGATGGTAGATTGTCTCTCAAAATATGCGGGAAAATGAGTGAGTCCACCATCCCGCCAAAATTGAACCTACGAATTCGCATCATTCAGCCCACTACCATTAGCATACCCAACGAACAGATATTAGTCAACGAGCAGTTGGAGATTGCAACATATTGCAACCAGGAAATGGGTTGGCCATAATCGGAACCCTGGGAGAGCAGAACTGCCAAACACGTGTGCAAACTTGGCCCCTTTTCTAAGTGGGCAATGCTGTGATTTAAGTACACTCGGTTGCTTTCTGCTCCCCTGCTAAAAGTTTAACTTTTAGTGGTTTAGTGGAAAACCCATTAGTTGGCAAAAAGTTAAAGTCCTAACAGCCAAGCAAAATGCACCAAAGGTCAGGGTTGTTTGAGGGGTCCGCTCTAGTGGAAGCCATGCGGGCCTCCTGGTGACAGTCCTTCCCCACGTCCAAAAGATGTGGACCTTCAAGGCCCGTCCCTTCACATCAAGATCTGTCCAATGGATTCTGTGCAGAAAAAAAGCGGCACATTCTGGCTCATCTCACGGCCGTGGAATGGCAAAAAAAAGCAGCAACAAGCTTTAGTCTTGTTTCCTGCTAACATGGAAACGGAACGGATCCCCCGCTTTAGTCATGTTTCCATTTCGTACCTTTTAGCAGGAACTGGGGTGTCTGCCTGGTTTAAAGGAAGGGTTTCCAGATGACAGGGGAAAAAAAACGGTAGCCAAGCTTTAGTCATGTCTTCTCTGTCTCTGTCTCCTCTCTCTCTCTCTCTGTCTCTCTCTCTCTCTCTCTCTCTGTCTCTGTCTCTCTCTCTCTCTGTCTCTGTCTCTGTCTTTCTCTCTCTCTCTCTCTCTCTCTGTCTGTCTCTGTCTCTCTCTCTCTCTCTCTGCTAAAATGGCCACCAAACCCAAAAAGTGACTAAAGTCCGAAACACAACTCAGGAAGGGAGATCTTTGGCCGACTCGGTTTCGGGCCCCCGGCTGTATCGCAGCGTCGCCTCGCTGTAGCCCTTCAAAGCCTCGAAGGGCTAACATGGCCAATGGCTTCGGTCTTGGTTTTGCGGGTAGTCCTCCATTTGCGAATATGTGCCCTGGATAAAAACAAAACTTGGTGGCTTTCTGCTCCCCTGCTAAAAGTTTAACTTTTAGGGGTTTATTGGGGAAACCCATTAGTTGGACAAAAACAAGTCCCAACATCCAAGCAAAACGCACCAACGAAAATATGTCCAGTAGAGATAGATTCCCATTCAAGACCAACTGGAAAATACAAGCCAGAACGTCTTAAGCCAATGTGTGAAGGTGTTGTGGTCTACAGGGATACAAAAGAAAACCGCTTATTTCGGTGTCCATATTTGTCTGGCTGATTTTGAAGGGAAACCTTAGACAACTGGCCATGGAAGTTGCTAGGGTCCTCCGGATTAATCCAAAGTTCACAAGGGCTCCTTGACTTCCGCCCCTAGCGACTAGCCAGGAATCCCCCAAAACCCACCCATTGATAGAGGAAGCTCCTTCCCCCTTCTTGAGACTCTTCCCTGCAAACTTCTGGTACCAACTTTTTGTTCTCTAGTCTATTTTAGCAGGGGAACCCTTCCCCACAAGGGACCTAGTCTGAGTTGCTGCGGAAAAAATCCACCTGCATCGAGCCCCTTGCGTTGGATCGCTTCCGGGCAACCCCCGAGGAGCAGCGCAGCAGCAACAGCATCTCCGAGGGCAAGCGTCCGCGCACCTGCGCGCGCGCCGCGCGCGGCTAGCGCGGCTAGAGAACTGGACCCGTGGATTTTGCCATGGCCTATGGATATGGTTTAAAGCTGGTAGGATACTTTGCCTACGTTCTGGTTATTGAAAAATAAACAAAAAGCCACCCCCCAAGTGGTAGGTTAAAAGGGAACAACATGGAACAACCAGCTGGTGAATGAGACAGGCAGGGAATGAGACATGGAATGAGCCCTGGCCATCCCTTGTGGTTTCCTGAAAGAGGGGATCCCCAGTCCCGAAGCCATCGCACCAGCAAGGCAACCCCATTTTCTGACTTGGATAGCAGTCAAAACGCAAGATCTAGGAGATGCGTTTCCCCATTCTTTTTAACCACGGAACTCTCTTTCCAAACACTGGATCTGTATTTTTTGTGGGTGTCTGGAGGTTTTCTAGAAAGATCCGGATCCCAGAAAAGAACGGAATTGGAAGGTCCCCTGGAGATGAGCGGAGCGATTCGGCCGCCTCCAGCCACTCGCTCGGCATGGCGCCGCTGTACAGCAACGACAGGTTGCCAAACCTTGGCCCGGGCACGGTTCGTCACGAAGGACGTCCCTGAAGAAGTTGATCAATCCAGGAGCGGCTTCCATGAAAACTCTAAGGGTTGATTCCTTTTCCATCATTTTCAACCATCGTTCTTTTCAAAAACCGATCGCTCTTTCCCCTGGGGTTCTCATGGTTTTCTGGAAAGATCCGGATCCCTGGGTTCAGAATGGAAATGGAAGTGTCCCCTAGAACGCTCGAAACCCACAAAAAACTTTGAGGTTCCCTCCAACGGGAAATGGACGAAACCATTTCGAAAGAAGCGGCCTGGTGATGACCAAATCTGGCTGGTGCCAGAGATGTGAGATTCATGGAGTCTGACCCCGAAATAAACCATCCAACTGGTCGTTGTCTTTAGGACCAATTCCTGGGTCCATTCCCTAATCCCCTGGAAAAACCTAGCTACTTATCGCACCCGAGGAAAGAATGCGGGGTCTGTCTCAAAAGAAATCTGTGGATGGACCATTTTCCCACGCCAGGCAGGGGCCCCGACTCTCCCTCGGTCTTCTCGTCATTCACGAGCCCACTTCTGTGACCTCGCTTCGTCCGCTTGCGGGCCACAACCCACCGCCCACCCCAGCCCCCCCCAAGAAGGCCATATCTGGGTGCCAAATCATCTAGGGGTACTCAAGTACCCAATCATCTAGGGGTACCTTCCCCATTCTGAACCCAGGGATCCGAATCTTTTCAGGAAATCATCCAAAAATGCAGGGGAAACAGATCCGGTTATTGAAAAGACAGATGGTTGAAAAGAATGGACAAGGAATCAACCCCTAAAAATAAGGCTTTATTTGGGTGCCCAATCATCTAGGGGTACCTTCCATTTCCATTCTGAACCCAGGGATCCGAATCTTTTCAGGAAACCATCCAAAAATGCAGGGGAAACAGATCCGGTTATTGAAAAGACAGATGGTTGAAAAGAATGGACAAGGAATCAACCCCTAAAAATAAGGCTTTATTTGGGTGCCCAATCATCTAGGGGTACCTTCCATTTCCATTCTGAACCCAGGGATCCGAATCTTTTCAGGAAACCATCCAAAAACAGGGGAAACTGACATGCTGTGCGGAACCTTTGGACTTGCTTGTCCCTAGGGTTCAACCCCCATTAGAAGAATGGTGCACCCAACTTGGATGATGGAACTCCTTAGCTTCCATTTGCTCAAGCCCCCCGGAAAGAAACATTTAACAATTATGTCCAGTAGTGATCGATCCCCTGTCAAACCAACAAGGGACAGGTAAAAACATACTCTTACGAATTGCAAATCGGAAGTGAAATAGGTAATGGTGCTTACTACATTGGCCACCCTTGTTTACATGGTGATAACTGAACCGTAGGGTTGTGCTCAATACGGAAATATCTTCTTCCAGCTGACTGCCACTTTAAGGGCACCCAGGTTCGAACAAAATGGCCCCCTTCTCTACCTGTTTCTGCACTCCAGAGCCCATGCCCCCCAATGAAAAACGCCAACACTATTGCCAATATGTTTTGCGCACAGGCCTGCCAATACGAATTACTATTAGAACCCCAAAGGTTGCTATTTCAAGTGAGCTCTCCGGCCGGACAATGCCCGTTTCTGGCTGAAGTGTTCTTTGAAATGGCTTGCTCGAGAGCTTCACAAGAAATACGGTACACTTCAACGTCGCCCCGAAATGGCTGTGGCTCAAAAAACCGGTACCAAAATCAAACCTGGAAAGTGGAAACATGGACCAAAACCTGCATAACCCCTCCTGTTTAATTTTGAGCCACACCCAAATAGACCTGGACAAATTACAAAAGCAGAACACCCTTGAGGACTCGAAGGCTGAGTTCATCTGGCGCCCCAAAATCCAAAAGCCAGCTGTCCAGGAATCTGGAAGGAGTTTGATCATCCCTAGTTGCCCAGTTGTTTGCCCTCCCCACAAAAAGCTCGAGGCAATCAGGCAATCACCTTCTGGGCGAGTTAGGACGACATCGGCTTCCCTGACTTGGCTGCACCTGGCTACAGCGCCTGGCTCCAAACCACTACCTGAGAGGCCGCTCGCCGGGCGGCTCACGAGGAACTGGGCATCCTCAAGGTCGTAAAGCTCCAGAGACGCCAGGCCCTGCGGTAAGGGATCGATGATGCGTAGCTCAATCCCGCCTACCATAAGGGGGAGGGGGGTGGGGGGGTCCCCAGATCCAGTTATCGTCCCTTCCAGTTATCTAACGAAATGGAACCATAAATGGAATTCCAAGAGTCACCCCCCTCCCCCAATTCCATATTTAAGGGGGTACGGATGTACCTCATAAAAAGAATCGGACCCTTTGCTTTCGGTGACTCCCCTTTTTCAACCTTTCTCCCCTATCTGGGTGGCTTGTCTTTTTTGAAAGGACCCCACTAAAATGGGTGGCTTCCCTTTTGGTTTCACTTCAAAGGGACAACAAGCGTGTGTTTTCGGTGATTTGTCCTTGCTCTCCTCTAGTTGTTCTTTTTTTTAAGCGACGGACGGGAGGAAAGGGACAAGAAACCTTCAGGCAAAAGGGTGATCGAGGGGAGCTTCTGGCAATCTTATGCCTGAAATCCTGATTGACATCGAACTAACTTGGCCAACGTTCAACCCTATTCAATACAAACGCGATTTCAGGTAGGAGTGTTGGAGGTATGAAGGCTATATACCGCCAATATAAGGGGTAAATACCGCCTCACCAGCTTCTATATGAGTGGCATATCGGCATACCTCCAAACACACACACTTGAACATGACCTAAGCCTGGAATGCAAAAATCCAAATCTGTTTTTTGGGGGCAATTGTTCCTGGGTTCAAAAGAAAACGACGAGGAAAACCCACGGGCCCCCTAAATGACCAGCCACCCATAGGGTCTCCCATGGTCCCAACCGTCGACGTGCGTTCCCGGCGGTCCAGCGGTCCTGCCCCGTGGAGGCAACGGAGAAGTTTGCCAAGCCTTCGGGCAGGTCCACCGTGAGGGTCTCGCCTGTCGCGGCGAAGCCAAGAGACCATAAGTTGGTTGCCACAAATGGAATGCCAAGGGGTAGAAAATGGCACCTGGAGTCAGTTTCTAGGTCCTCCAGATTTGAGAGGTTGGAATAAGTTGGTACCCGACTTTTTCCTTTTTTGTCTATTTGAGTAGGGGGTTCCCCTCCCAACCAAAAAAGGGGGAGAGAAGGGCACTGGGGAACCTGAGGTTTGGGCGAGTTGTTCGGTTCGGCTCATGCTGCTTTTTTCGGTTCCCGGAAGACATGACCGTGGCTCATGGGGCTTGAGGCTTGCAACTGGTTGGTCTCACTCGCTCTCTCTCTCTCTCTCGTGGGTTTGTTTTTCGGCCGGTGTAGCTTCCGTTGGCGTTTTCGGCTCCTGGCTTCAGCGAGCTTTGGTTCATGGCTGGGGGTCTTTAGCGCCATTTGTTGGTTTTTGTTGCTTTCTGTTTTCTAGCCCCTGGAAAAATGAGCAAATAGGTCCAGTGATAGACTCCCTTTAAAACCAAAAGCGGGACAAGCAACATAATCTTAAGCAAGTGGAAGATAGTGGCAACTGGAAGCACTGGGTTGAAGGCTCATTCAGCTGGGCTGCCCTTCCCCCGAGCAAGGTCTTAGACCTTTTGTACAGTTAATGGAAAAGTCCTTTTTGGGAGCTTTTCTGATCACCCGATGGACCAGCCATGTAATGATACAGCCAAAATACTTGCGCGCGGGGATTCTCTAAACCACCCGGTGATATTTCAACCGGTGCAACTGCATCCTTTGAACAATCCTGAAGTCAAGGGCAGCCTGCCAAATGGACAAATGACCTACATACCCACCCCCCTTTCTTTCGGCTTATCGTAGTTTAGTGGAAAATCTCACTTAACTGCTAAAATTTGAGATTTTTTGCTCCCCTTCCAACGTCGTCCAAGTCAGACACTGCAAATTGCAATGCCAGCAGGGCGCATGTCAAGCCAAACATAGTCTCACTTCCTGAGTTCATGAACTTTAATCTTTTTGGGAAGACCATTATAGTGGTAAATTTAAAGTTTGGGCGTTTTTGGGGCCATCCACTCAGCCAGTGAGTAGTGGCAAATCGCTTTGTTCGACTGCTTTTCTTTTCTATCCTGCCAACCCAAAGGAAACAGCATCTTGTTTCATTTGGGGACGGGGCATGGAAGAGGAAATTCACGAAGCACTCTGCACCCTATGGTTGGTTCCCTTTGGAGAAATAAAACGCATCGGCTGCTTGGAGCATTTTTCCCTTAAGGCCCTGTACCCCTGCGATTTTTTTGAGCGAAGGCCTGGAGGAGATAGTCTTACAAAACTGGGCAGGAAGAGGGGCCGAGGGGCGGAAGAACAACTTGGAGTGACGTCCTTCCAATTGGTTATTTGTTGTTGTTCCTTGTTATTATTGTTCCAATTTAAGTTCCAATTTAAGTTCCAAGTTCCAATTTAACAATATGTGTTATTGTTCCTTGTTGGTTTCAAAAGGGATCGATCACTGGAACTAGTTCATATTTTTTCCAGGGGGCGAAAAAGCAAATGGAAGGTGAGTTTGAACGACCGCTCTTTCTGGGAAAAATGTTTCCCAACAACAACCATGCTGAGTCCATGTTCTTTGGTCCTCCATTTTGGTGCCTAGGCACATTTGAAGTGCTGGGGATCCTTAAGACTAATCCCAATCCCCTTGGGCATCACTGCAGCAATGGAAACCACGATCACCGACAAGGATTCTTGTGCACAACTCAGCCAAGTAATTATTTAGAAGGTCTGTTTGCTTAAGTTTCCCGGGGAGGAAAATACGCAAGAAACAATATCCAGTAGTGACAGACTGACACATTCCCTTTAAAACCAGCAGGTGGAGCTAAACAAACACCAGTCTCACGCTAATGGTATAATAGCCTTCTTTCTCGGAAGTCCGAAAGCGCACACAATTGGAGCTGTTTGCTGTTTGGTTGGAAAAAAGTCCTGTCCCAAGCAAGCTTCGGCTTCCCTCTACTTGGTTTTGTTTGGTGTTTGGAGGTTCAGGGTTGTTTCCCATTCACTCCCTACAAGAACCCACCAAAATATATTGCGTGTCGGAGGCTTAAACCCAGACTTGATGTCCCAAAGGGGTTCAAAATTCTGAGTTTACGTGTGCTTTGGGGTCGGCAAATGATTAATGTTACTTTCGAATTTTAGCAAGGGCCATACTCTTCAAGGGTGGTTGCTTTGCTCGGAGAAACGAGCCTCTCTTTCGTTGGTCCTTTTTGGACATTCCTCTGACTGGGTGCAGGGTGCGGATGTATCCGAAGTTTAACCTTTATATGCCAACCGCTGGAAGGACGCTGTTGCCAAATTGGTACATGTAATGTTGACCCAGGATCAATAAACCCGTCCCATTATTAGGGGGGTGTTCCCTCCAAAAGTGATGAATCCAACCACTAAAAGGAATTGGACACCCCCATATTAATAAACACGGGTTTATCAATCCGGGGTTAACATATCATTTCATCCGCCGGACATTTTTCGGGAACGCGACCTCGGGCGCCCAGAAATGAACCTGCAGCCATTCGCCATTCGAAGGTCCACCGCCAGAGAGACTTGGAGCCTCTCGAAGCGAGCCGGGGCCTTTTTTGGCGCCCGACGAAAAAAACTGCGGATGGACGAACTCCATTTCGCACCACTTTGAAACCATGGGAAATATGTCTGCCTTGGGCTCGAATCATTGCAGGGTTTCTTTCTTAGGTGCGAAATGGGTTTCGTCCATCCACAGTACCAAAGGGCCCGGGCTGGCCCGGGCTGGCCATGTATCCGGCCTGGCAGGTGGTAGAACCGCGCCTCGCCCTGACCCCCCTGGCAGTAGAAGACCACATGGGCCGCGCGGTAGAAGCCCGCAGGACAGGTCCTGACCCCTGCCCCCAGGTTCGGTGCTTGAAAAAGGAAAAGGAAACCAAAAGCAAAGCCGCATGTTTTTTTTTTTTTTTGTGTGTGTGTGTTTTTCATTATTTCCTTCTTGTCTTTTTTCTTCTTTTTTTTTGGGGGGGGGGCCTTAAAAGGGACACCAACAGCAAAGCCACATGCTTGGATCGCCAGTTGCTTTTTTTCCATCTACTTTACCTGAAAAAACCAGCAACAGTGACCTAAAAAAACAGCAACTTGGCTATCTAGGTGTTTTGTAGTTTGTTCTTTTTCTTTCTTTGGGGGGGGCCCTAAAAGACGGACGCAAGGTGAACAAAACGAACATTTGGGGTGTGTCAAAGTATAGATGTGGACCCCAAAATTGCGCTTGGCAAATTTCTCGACGTCCCTAACCAGCCTCAAAAAGGGCCTCCACCCCTCCCAACAAAGAACAAAAAGAAAGAAAGAAACAACGAAAGAAAGAAAGCAAGAAAGAAAGAAAGAAAGAACATGAGGAAAAGCGAGAGAGAGAGAGAGAGAGCAGGCACACACCCCCCCTCGCCCCGGCACCCACGCACGTTCCCCCAAGATACCTCCAAGAAAACCATTCTGGTTTCCTTCGTGTGTGTGTGTGTGGCTCCCTTTTTCCTTTAGCTTTTTATGGAAACCAAAGCCAGACACCCATACACACCCATTTTAAGAATCTTCGTATTGGCCCATGAAAGTGACGGACACAAAGTTACCCTCTAATGCTACAAGAAGTCGTGAGAACCCAGCCTGTTCTCTTTAACTGACCCCGACACACGTGTTTTTCCCCCCAAAAAAAACAAAAACAAACAGGCCGCCGACGGACGTCGATTCCGCAGGGCGAGATAATCCGGTCCTGTTAGCCATGCCAGGCTTGGGCCATGGCGAAAGCTCGAGGCCCTTTTGCCCGGGAAGGTTGCGAGGCTGTTGGGGGATGGACTTCTTTTTTTTCCCCAGCACCCCTGGTGACAAGGTTGCTAGGTGAAAAAGACAAAGTTGGGGATGGGCTTATCTTTCCCAACACCCCTCATAACAAGGTGAAGTGACAATTGCCCATGAGCTTCTGAGCTGTTCAGCATGAGGTGGGTGGATTCCCAATCCTGGGGGGTGATTAGCAAGGGAATCCAACTCCCATCGAGCATCAGGAGTCCAGAAAAGAGTTTGAGAGCACGGAATCTCGCCGAATGCAAGCTGTCGCCCCAAGCGCGAACACCAAATAGTGAGAGCAGACCTGAAATGGCTGCGGAGCAAAGCTGGTTGCAAGTGGTCCTCGAACACAACTGGATACCATCCTGCAGCTCGACATGCAACCCAAACTCTTTTTGCTTGTGAAATTCGAATCATCTCCTGTAAAAGCTGAGCATTTTTCTGGTTGACGAGGACACGAGTGTGTCTTATTTAGGGGTGACCCCGTGACCTTGCCTGAACAAGGGGTACCCTCAAAAAAAGACTCTCAACAAGCAGGACAGCCACAAAAGCGCTGAAACCATAGGCACCCGTTTGGAACCACAAAAAAATCCCTGATAAATGCAATAAGACAAAACCAGGGACATCCATCGTTAAGCACATAACCTAAGAAAGAGTTGACAAGGCAAGTGTGACAATGTATCGAGCTGAGTGCTGCGCCCATGGCAAAGCATTCTCAAAATGCCCTAAGTCAGAGTTCCCCATCCCCATCAAAACGTCACCTCGAAAAAAACACCTGGAACAAAAACCACCGGAAGGGAAACAAACATAACGAAACATAATCGTCCAGGCTCTAAGCTAGATTTGTCCCTTTTGAGCATCCCCCAATCTGAAACTCGCACAAAAAATGCCAAGGTTGTACGTTTCTATCTACGCTGGCTTCAAATACCGTGAACACCATCTTCTCAGCTGCCCAGTTTGCCAACAACGGGAAGGAAACCAAAGGCTCAAAGGCCGGCTTCATTAACAGCTTTGTTAACAGGGAGTGTCCCAGGCTTTTGTGGGGAATCAGACCACTCTTGGCGGGGTTCCCCCCCCCATGAAAATAGGGGGGGGGGCAGATAAAAAAAAAAAAAAAAAAAAACATGGGGTCAATTTTCGAACCTCGTGGGACAAATCCGCAGGATCTAAGCTAGGTCCTCCAGTAGAGAGGTTAGAATAAGGGTGCCAACTTTTTTATGTAGTCTATTTTAGGGGAACCCTCCCAACCAAAAAAAGGGGTTCAGAATGGTCCCCTAGCTGGGGGACCTAGTAGACCAAAACGCAAGGAGCCGGAGCCCCCCAAAGCCGCACGCACCCCACAGGAGGCGTCCTTCACCACCTGCTCCGCCCATGCAAAGAGCTCCTCAGCGCAACGGCGTTATTTCTTTCACAGGCGGCAGGTTCAGAAGAAATCGTCGAGAAACTGGGCTGTCCGTTTTCAGATCCCCTGCTACAAGTTTAAAATTTGTAGTGGGTTAAATGGACACCCCGACTAAACCTTAAGGGCACAACTGGGAACCGCCAAGGAAAGTGGTCCCCTCAACTTGTACCTTAAGTTGCGCCCCACAAATACCCCACTTTCGATCGAGTGGATGGGCCAAGCAAAGTATCCAAACCTTTTCTTGCTTGACGTTGGAAGGGGAGCAACAATTCTCAAATTTTAGCAGTCAAGTTGGGATTTCCCACTAAACCACAATCAGCAAAAATGGGAAAAATGTGTCCCAACAACAACCATGATTACAAGAAAGCACCCCATCCCCAGGGCCACCCCTTGGCCGTCCAAATCCGGCATTTTAGAATCCAAGTCCATGAACCCACAAAAAAAGGGGCCACGCACAAGTTTTGTTTGCCACTACAACGGGTCCAACCCCAAAAAGTCTAAAGTTCAGGAACCTGGGAAGCGAGAAAAGATGGAGCCCGAGACTTCCTCTTTCCAAGCCTGCGCATGGGATTTGCAGAAACAACACAGCTGCTTCTTTCTTGCAGACTCCTATTCAGGAAAAACAAAAACAAAAACAGAACCCAAAAAACAACTGCTAAACTCATATGGGGGTTGATCAAACGGCCCTTCACATGACAATTGGACTAAAACGGATGATATTTCCCACGTGGGAACAGTTACCCTTGGTCAAAACTGGGAACCGAACCCCCCCTCCAAAAGAAAACATGTGGCCAACAACAGCTCATATTTTTCCTCCTCAAGTGCATCCCCCTCCTGGCTGCCCGAAATGGGTTGCCCTGGAAAATGGGTGCCCAAACACCTGCGAAAATTGAGTGCCCAAAGTTGGCATACTGTGGATGGACGAAATCCATTTCGCACCATTCCCCTGTAACTACCAACAAACGTTATGGTTTCAACCATGGTTTCATTTCGGTGTTGCGAAATGGGCTTCGTAATCATCCACGGTGTATGTCCTCCTCAAGCCCCCCCAAAAAAAAAGCACAAGGAAAAGAATTGGTCTCCCAAATGTGTTGACATGCGGTTGTGTGGTGGTTCCATATGATGTCCTCCTCCAAAAAGAAGAAGGAAAATACCTTTTTCTCCCGGTCTCCCGGCCCTTCCCCATGACCAATGTTTTTTCTCGCTTGCTTTCTGCTCCCCTGCCAAAAGTTGTTTCTTTAAAAAAAGAATAATAAAACTGTTAGTGGTTCAATACGGAAAACCCATTAGTTGGCACAAAAAGTTAAAGTCCTAATTAACGTCCAAGCAAAATGCACGAGGGGTAGTTTGAAGATCCAGGTGCCGATTTCTATTCTTGGTTTTTAACATTGTTGAAACACCAAGGAAAGCCGAAGCCCACTTTGGAGGGTCCGCTCCCTTAAAAAGCTCTAAGTTGCTTGGTCTGACGGCCGGGCCATGGAATCAATTGCCAACGCTCCTGGCTGGCAACCCCTCTGAGCCCCCGTCTTCCGTCGACTCCGGCGCCTTCTGCGTGCTCGCGGCGTAGCCCTGCATACGCGAGACCACTGTGGGACTTGCCTTGTTGATCCCGAAAAGTGACGATGACTTGTGGGGATACTATGAATGGACGAACATATACACCACCTAAGAAACCCTGGAATTGTGATTTCCCTGCAAATACCAACCAAAATTGCTTCCAATAGTTTCAAAGTGGTGCAGGATTTCGTCCATCCATGGTGTGTCAGAAAGCCCGAACTCCAAACAACTGCAACCATCAGCGGGAGTGTTTCAAAATGGTGCGGGATTTTGTCCATCTACAGCAGGTCAGAAATCCCGAACTCCAAACAACTATAACGCTGATGGTTGGGTGCCACGTGGAGGGCCGAGTATCGTTTTGGTTGCTTTTTTGTTTGGGGTGGGGGAGGGCCCCGGTTGCAGGGCCCCTACTGTGGATGGACGAAATCCATTTCGCACCACTTTGAAACCATGGAACACCTATGCTTGTTGGTATTTACAGCCCAACCAACGCGAAACTCTGTTTAACGCTAAGAGTTTCCCGAGTGGACGGGCCAAGACAAATAACCAAACGGTTCTGTATTCCACCTTTTCCACCTTTCCACCCACCCACCCACCCACCCACCCACCCACCCACCCACCCACCCACCCACCTACCCACCCACCCACCCACCCACCCACCCACCGACCCGGCTAAGAGTTTGGGTGAATCCAGCCACCTTTCACCAACTAACCTACCAACCTGAGGAACCGGACGGTTGGGAACCAAGACAAAGTGCCTCAAGTCCTCCTTTGCTTAAGTCCCCAGCAAAAATATGTCCAGTAGTGCAATCGACTCCCTTTGAAACAACTGGGGAAAATAACAAATACTATTCAACAAATGGAAGGAGTCCGTTTCACGGACCTCAAGCCAGTTTTGAGCCCCGCAGCTTGCCACATTCAAGCCCTGCAACGCTTCTAGCGGTGAGGCGGCTTGAGGGGAGCGAGACCGGGCCCCGGTGGAATTCATCTTAGGCAAACATCCCCAAGCGTGAACGAAGCCATTGCTCAGATACTATGCCTACATGCGTCTTGTGGTCCTATCAAAACCAACCACAAGTGGGTAAGATCTAAAAAAGACACCACATGTTGGATGCGAAGGAGAAAAACCCTCAAAGACTGGACAACTGGAACAGGTCGTGCTTGGGAACCTGTTCGACCTGGTTGTGCGACCGGCATATCTTACACATGTGCAACTAGGTCCTCCAGTAGAGAGGTTAGAATAAGGGTGCCCTTTTTTCTGTAGTCGATTTTAGTAGGGGAACCCTCTCCTAAAAAAGGGTAAAAGGGCGGACCTAGGCAACAAGGCGGTAACTTGGCCCACATCTGGGGCACTCCAGCCCGGCCCAAAATATACACGAGTTTGAGGGGGGGGGGGGGGGGGGTGGGGCAAAACGTTGCCAACACAATGATGCGTGCTCATGGCTCATGTTGGTGCAACATGCCATTGGATCTCAAATAGTTTCCGCAGAACGACGCGTAACAATCCGGCCGCTGGCAGTATTCTCCAAAACACACAACACATAATACAAGCATCCAGTTGAACCAACCCCAATACAAAAAGGGTGCAGTACAATCACAAAAACAAACAAACAAACAAACAAACAAACAAACAAACAAACAAACAAACAAACAAACAAACAAACAAACAAACACACACACACACACACACACACACACACACACACACACACACACACACACACACACACACACACACACACACACACACACACACACACACACACACACACACACACACACACACACACACACACACACACACACACACACACACACACACACACACACACACACACACACACACACACACACACTTAAACTCCAGATGGAGGGTGCTAATCTTTCGAGTACAACTGATGAGTCTCGAGTACAACTGATGAGTCTCGAGTACAACTGATAAGTCTCTCATCGTTCGAGTACAACTGGTGAGTCTCGAGTA